TGTTTCTGTCTATAAGACATACTCATAATAACATGGAACTTTATAGGACATAAGCTTTTATTTACCTTATATGCTTGTGTTGGTAACAGAATGTGGACAGTGCCTGAAGTTAAAGATATACCGAGAGGAATGGGGGTTGAGGATGAAAAGCTAAAGCTGATTTCTGAGGGTTGTGATCCAGTTAGTGTGAGTATTCAATCACTTGAAAGTTGAAAATGTTTTCACCTTGACCTGAATATTTGTTAGATTGTTAACATGTGGGGTGCCTCCTTTCTTTATCTTTTCAGAAGGATGCAAAGCGTGAACCAGAGGACATTATCGGGGAGGTTTCAAAAACCCATCATGCTATACAGTGAGTATATTATAGGATTTATATTTTTTGATTGCAGTGATCTTAGTGGTAAGTTAAACTTTTGACTGTATATGAAATGCAGAACATTGGATAAAACAATCTCAAACTTGGAGATGGAATTGGCTGCTGCAAGAGCTGCCCAGGAATCAATTATTAATGGTTCTCCCTTGTCAGACGACGTAAAGATTAGCGAATCAAGTGGTAAAAGGAAATATTTAATGGTTGTAGGAGTTAATACTGCTTTTAGCAGCCGAAAACGAAGAGATTCAGTTCGTGCAACTTGGATGCCTCAAGGTTGTCAATTAGTTACTTGCTATGTTTTTCATTGACCGTACTGTTTTCTTTTATATAATATTTCACATACAGTATTTAATTGATCTGTGAGTAACATTTGAATCTTCTGTATAAAAACTAGGTGAAAAAAGAAGGAAGCTTGAGGAAGAGAAGGGCATTGTCATGCGCTTTGTAATAGGTCACAGGTGGGTATTTCATTTGTGTTCAAATCTGGTTTTGTCGAATAATGTTACATCTTTAATTTGCATAGCTTTCTTTAAAGTAAATTTAAGCCTCTTGTGCTCTTCTGGTCCCTCTTTCATATACTTTATGGAATATGGTTCTTTTCCTATGCTGTTTCCATCATGGCACAGATGCAGGTCACAAATTGTGGGGTTACAGTTACTTTACTGAAAGACGTCTTAGCAATCAAGAAAGTTACTTGGAAAGAGAAAAGTTTTGGAAAAGATGTTTATTGCTTTAGTTTTCTATTATGTATGTGCACGAGGGTCGTACACATTTAGAAAATATAATTAAGAATGACAAAAGGAAAACTTAAACTAAGTATAGATTTCACATTTGAAGGATCTTATGGGTTAATAATATAATCATATTCTTACTACAGACAAATGTCAAGATGGAGAGGTACTGATGGTGTAGATACTGACAGCAACTAAAGAAATTAGAACTTATATAGAGGAGGGTAGCACCACATGATAAACAGAAAAATTTTAATCAGGAGATGTCTCAGAAGCGTTAATGTTTCTAATAGCCAGGAAAACCTAATAAGTAGGTGGTAACATGACTTCAAAATTTAATTTTGTGGTTAATATGGGTGAAAAAGAACAATCTATTCTTAAATTAAAGAAATATCATCATACATGAAAAATGGTCTGGAAGTCAATTGATAGTGACATGAATAAGTTTGTTAGATTTGCAAATTTCAGAAGTCCAAGACCCAGATAGGCTTAAACAGTCTAGATTAGCTTTATATGTGATTGAAAAATTTGGATGTACAGTTTTCCAACCTTTGTGTCATAGTTCATAATAGGTATATATACATTTTCTCGTAGGTAGAATTTTATCAAGTGAATATTGTTTCACCGATCAAGACCTGATAATCAGGCTGATTGTTGCTGATTTTAGCTGAATAAGGCATTGAAGATGACTTATGAAGCTTTTCGTCCTGTAGACACATTTACATTTAATTTTGTACGTCAATGATGTATATAGGGCAGTCTTAATTTGCAAAACCAAATACCTGGTTGATGGATAAAATTTGACATATTTCTCTATTTTTTTTGTTCATCTCAGTGCTACTTCTGGTGGTATCCTTGATAGAGCCATTGAAGCAGAAGATAAACGACATGGTGACTTTTTGAGGCTGGTAAGCTTCTCCTCTCTCTTTCCTTATTCAATCTGTTTTAACAAAAATACTCTAACGCAGATAGTATGAACATTGTCATTATGAGCTGGTATTTATAAAAGAACAATGGCTATACTAAAATTTGAAAATAAATGTGTGGGCAGGAACATGTAGAAGGTTACCTTGAATTGTCAGCCAAGACGAAGATATTTTTTGCCACTGCGGTTGCTTTGTGGAATGCTGATTTCTATGTCAAAGTTGATGATGATGTACATGTAAATATAGGTAAAGAGTTATTTACTAATTTTTGTTTCTTTACTTCTAGATATGCTATATTGGCAAACGTCACCAAAATTGTTAAGTTTTACATGAATCGAAGCACTCAGAAGGCCGCTCATCACTGAAAAATATTTTCCTCCAATTGCTTTAATCAAAGACTGGAAAATATATTTTCTTTTCCTTGTTCTTACATACTGTTCATCCATCATGCTATTGCAGCAACTCTTGGAGCAACTTTGGCTAGGCATCGATCCAAACCCAGAGTGTACATAGGCTGCATGAAATCTGGTCCAGTCCTAGCTCAAAAGTAAGCCAAGAACGTTCTTACTCTATATCCATATGGCCTGTGTTTTGGAGAATTTAACATTTTATCTTTTCGTTTCTATCCGTCATGTTTTCTAATTAGTTTTTCAATGCACAGGGGAGTGAGGTACCATGAACCTGAATATTGGAAATTTGGTGAAGAAGGAAACAAATACTTCCGTCATGCTACAGGGCAGCTATATGCTATTTCTAAAGATTTGGCTTCTTATATATCAATTAACCGGTAAGTTCCAGATCATCTGAATAATAAGTGGTTAAATTCTGTGTAGCAATATACATCTCCTCTGAACCATTTCACTTGTATATCAATTAGGCATATGCTACACAAGTATGCCAATGAGGATGTTTCATTGGGGTCATGGTTTATCGGATTGGATGTAGAACACATAGATGACAGGAGACTATGTTGCGGTACCCCACCTGGTAATTTTACAAACTTACTCTACTGTTGTTCTACTTTCCTGAACTTATTAACAGTCTTCCAACACTGAACTCCATTGATATCATGAAACAAGCAGACTAAAGTCCTGCCAACCATACATGATATACAATCTATTGGATTTGGCCTTTTTGGATAGTTCATTTTGTGTGTGTGATTTAAACTTTGCACAAAGAGTTACAGTTAGATGCTTGGTGAATGTACTGTCAAAATGTGATGCAAAAATCTAATAATTTGGATACTTGCCACAGATTGTGAGTGGAAGGCTCAGGCAGGCAATGTGTGTGTTGCCTCGTTTGATTGGACCTGCAGTGGCGTCTGCAAGTCTGTTGAGAGGATGAAAGAGGTCCACCGGCGTTGTGGGGAAGGTGAGAATGCTTTGTGGAGTGCAGTCTTCTAAACAAACCAAAAACAACATTTCTTCCAAACTCAGGAGGAAGCAAGTAAAGGGCTTGAGGTTGTTTTGGGGATGTTGCTATAGAGAAACCTATGTAATATCGAAACATCGAATGAGACAGATATGCATCAGGCAAGCAGGAGAGATTTTGGTTGCTGAGTTTTCTGCTCACTTTTAGACTAGGAGAGAGACTCAAAAGCAGTTTTAAGAAAGGAAAAGAGTTTGTATTTTAACCATTCTTTGATTGCTCTCTGGGGGGCATTTTGTAAGCGTGCCATAGCTTATGGAACCTTCATAATAAGTGCTGAGAATAGCTTTTTGCTGCCTTGTGCTTCATAAATTAGCGGCTTTTTGTGTTGCTTTTAATAGATTTGTACCTTCTTTCTGTGATTTGTAAATAAAATAGTGATGAAGATTCCCCCTTCAACTCATTTATCTCACCAGTACTAGTAAATTTTACTCTTAAAATGTCAGATTTATAATCTTCTATATTTTTATAAGTTATTAGGCTATTTACTTTTGTTGAAGTTGAATTTGTCCCACATTGCTGAGTTGGTGTATATATGTGGTTAGATTTCTTCCTTCCTTGAGCTAGCTTTTGGAAGTGAGTTTTACTCGAGCCCAATTTATCATGGTATTAGAGTCACTTGTTTGACCTGATGATGGCTTTGGACCTAGTGCATCCTACATCTTTGAGTTGGCGGACTGTTATAGTATATATATGTAATTGGACTCTATCCTCCCTTAAGCTAGTAAGCTTTTAAAGGTGAGTTTTACTCAAACCCACTTTATCAACTTTATGCTCCATGAATTCGCAATTAATTATCTAATCTCATCAATGGTCAAGTTTATCCGTCCACTTTGAAATGGGTTTGTTATCTGATCGGACTGGTGTGACATCCTCACGAAGATGCAAAGTCACAAATGTAGGAAGTTTGTCATATCTCGCATCTTTAGCAAATGAATTTGGGATGCAGCTTATAAGATTGAGTTCTCATAACTGATTAGATGCGTTTTGGGTGAAGAACATTCACTTGTAACCTAAAAATAAACCTGTTTGCAGTCAAAGATATATACCTGATTAACCCAAGAGATTAGCCTGACAGTTAATGATGTTAGTTCCATTTTTTGAGTCTTTGGGTTCAAACTTTGGGATTACCTACTACAATAATATTGTGACTTACTTGATCTTTTGGACTTATAAGACATTCAATGGACCTAGCGATTAATTAAGATGCCCGTAATTCTTTCTTCAGAGCACTTCTGAGTTCTGACATAGTCGAGCCCAAAATTTTGAAGTGTTTGAAATAGTCTGTTTACATTCATCACCATGAAGTAAGAAAGATGCAAGCAGAATAGATATCAGAAACTCATGGCTGAGCCAAGTGTAAACGCGGCCAAGTGTAAACATTGGAAAAACTGAAATGGAAGTCAATTGGCCAACCTGTAAGCATTACTAGGAAAGAAAAGAAAACTTTCAGTGGGCAGTTGAATCAATGATACCATTTCTACTAGATAATACCAAACAAATAGTATCATGATTCCTGCAATGAAAAGGCAGAGCCCCCACTGCCCACTGCTTCTCACTCATCCCACTAAACCTACAACTCCACACCTTATAAACTCTCTCTTTCCATTCCAAGACCTGATAAGATCACAAACTATTTATCTCCACATTCCCACTTTCAGTTCACCAACGTTCTCATCGTTCTTTCACTCCTTTTCTCATTAATTAAACCTCACCAATGCTTAAGCTCCTTGATTGTTCCCTCAGGATCTTTTCCATTCCTCTTAGTGTTGCAACCATTTGGTTAACTGTGACTAACCAGCAGGACAACCCCAGTTATGGGAAACTAGAGTTCAGCAATCTGACAGGACTCAAGTAAGATAAAGTTCTTTCTCCTTCTTTTTTACTCTTATTATAACCTTAATTCATTCTATGCATATTCTAAAAAAATTTAAGAATTGTTCAACAGATTCATGGTCTGCATCAGTGCTATATGTGGTGCGTATGCATTTTTTGCTGCTGTTTCCTCATGGTTCAAATTCTTTGTTTCAAAAGCTTGGATTTTCTTTGCCTCTGATCAGGTTCTAACTCAAAACTTATGAACTAATTCATGTTCTCGTTTGCTAGCGATGTGAGATGTGATAGTAGTCGAGCTAGCTCGCTAACTTTTTTTTTTCTCCATGTGTCTGTGTATGAATGGATTGTTTTGAGCAGATTGTGGCCTACTTGATGGTGACATCAGTGGCTGCAGTGTTAGAGATACTGCGGTTAACTTACAATGGTGATCAGGAAGTTACATGGAGTGAAGCCTGCAGCTCATATGGGAAATTTTGCAATAAAATGAAGATAGCTCTTGTTCTCCATGCCTTGGCTCTTATATGTTTCATCATTTTAGCAGTAATCTCAGCTTATAGATTCTTCAGCCTGTTTGAACCTCCTTCTGTTTCTTCTTCCAAGGAGGTTGAAGAACAAAGGAACTAATCCATAGCTTTTCCTTCAAACAGCTTTATGAGTTCCATGGTGAATGATTGAGCTCTTATACTTTAGACATTTGAATAAATAATACTTCACACAAGTCTATGCTTCTGTTTTGAACAAATTGATCCTCTCGTAAAGATCTATGCAACAATACCAGCTACTGTATGTAAATTGTAAACTGGGGAAATTGATGAAACCCTTTACATAAAAGACAAGCTTGAATAGATATATCAGAGTTCATACAAGAGCAAGTTTTATCAGAAGTCAGAACTTTCACACACCTCAAAAGAGATTGCTTTGTCATGGTACTAAATCATTGGTAATATGTCATTATAAAACTGTAGATAAAATGAAAAAGAATACATGCTTTGCACCTAACACAATTTCACTTTATTAGGCAAGTGGATGGATCATGACTTTGCTTAGAAAAAGCTCGGAAATTTGTCCATCTCACCTACCAAAGATGAAGCACCCCTGCTTTTTCTTTTACCATTTCTTTACTATCATTATATTTTCTCAGTTTTATTTTGATAAACATAATAACATATATAATATATTACACTGTTATCCTGAGGTTTGACGGAATAACATTTTTCCACTTAGTTTTGTGAAACTAATACTGTCACCCCGACCCTCACATAGAGGTTTTGTTATGTGTTGGTGCCAAAGTCCTACATTGGTTAGGAGATGAGGGTCTTAGTTGATTATATAACATAAGGACACTCTTATCATCCAGAGACACTTTTTCAGGACAAAATCGTACAGACAATACCTCTGGAAACCCACTTAAAATGTGCCTAGATCTGACATACATCAAACATTACTTATATCGGCCAAAACTATAAACTATTTAGCTAAACTTCTAGGTATTGTTCACAATTGTCAATTTTTTATTCAAAACATCACCCATAAACGCCTTTTCATGACAAAATCGTATAGACAATACCTTTGGAAACCTATCTACTATATGTCTAGATCCGACATAGATCAAACATTACTTATATCAGCTAAAACTATCAACTATTTGGCTAAACTTCTAGCTATTGTTCACAATTGTCAACTGTTTATTCAAAACATCTTTTTAACCCCCTTATATCACTGTATTAATTGATAGAAACACAATTTGGGAGTGATACTGTTAGTTTTCCAATATTGAGGAGGAAAAATTTCATGCCAAACTTTTGGGGTGAAAGTGTAAGATACCCTTAGCTTTTTAATTTAATTTTAATAACATAGATAATATATTAGGTTTAATGTGGTGGGTGTTACATATGAGTGATATAATCTTTTCTAAAGATTCAAATGCACCAAAAATAGATTCATTGAATTAGAACAAGTTTTATTATAATAGAAGCAATACCATCCTATAAAAGAAATATTTGATTTTGTATCTCTAAGTAACAGTTAATTTATAAATATAAACTTAGTAATATTATTTATATGGGTATGTCCGTTCAATCATGCTAATAAACGTATGAATCCAACGACGATAACCACATTAACTCGTGTGATTTTAAATCATTATCTAATTACACAAACATATAAGGACTTAGATACCATTATTTTTGTCACAATTATGGTAAGTTTACTATTTATATGAGAATATTTCAACCAATTATTTAATTAAGGTTAAATAAATTAAAGTAAATTTCACTTTAAATTCTCTTTTAAAATTTAAAAAATCATGACATAATTTTGAAGGCAACTAAAATCTTACCTTCATCTTGGGCTATGATTTAATTTGATGGATTTGGGCCACTCCAAACTAAACAAAACGACGGCGTTTTAAGTCCCCGGAAAATAGAATCCCAGTTCATTCTTTATCTTCGTTCTCATCAGATCAAAGTTATATCCTGTGAGTCTCTGTTCTTTTTCTCTCTTATCAATTTTTTCCCTTTTATATATATATTTTTCTCGTAAATAATCTTTTCCTTTTATCTCACTCTTTGAATCTTTCTTTGTTGGTTTTTGTTTTTCTGATAAAATTAATTAAAGGAAGTTTCTTGGAAAGAGACCTTATATTGTTTGTTTGTTTTTTTGTTTTCTCTTAATTAGCAGGACAGTAGAGAAGAAGAAGAAGAGACTTAGAAGAA